CATGTTAAAGTTGAGTATCGCTGTGAACAGTGGTTCTCAGCGTGTGATTTGGGGGCCAGTACCAGCAGTATCAGCATCACTTGGGAAACTTGGGGGCGCCAACACAGGCCTATTGAATTAGAAACTCTGGGGCCAGAAATCTGGGTTCTAACAAGCTCTCCAGGTGATCCTGGTACGCCTTTGAGTCTGAGAACCACTGTACTCAAACGTCTTCCTCTGAAGAGAGAACTCGAGCAATTAGCCTCAAATTTCCAGTCCTGCAGCAAAGTATCTTCGTATTGGAGTAGAATGTGAAAGAATCAAAGCACACTATTTTCCTGAATTACAAAATGTTCCCGTCCGTTCTGCACATATGGTTAGATCAGTGGCTTCTTGATAAGGTCAGTTTTAGTACTTATTTTCTAAAGTCGATTATCATTTCTGTTTCATTCTATAATAACCCACAGATTCTGCACCATGGCAGCAGCTTGTAATTCTGCGGAGGTTACACTGTGACTTGAGTGTTAATGCATTCGTAGCTGGCAGCCTATTATGAACATCCTGCTCTATAAGCAGGGAGGATCATTGAAATGACATCTTGTCTTGCCTCAGAACCTATACTTGCAAACAGCCTGGGAAAGTCAGCATGATACAGGAAAGTATCTAGGAAGAAAAAGAGAGTCTTGAAATGGATTCTTTTAAGAAAAATTCTCATTTTACTAGTTTTATTTTTCCCCAGAACAAAGGATGGACCTCATAGATAAGACAAACAGCAAGTGGAGTGTTTATTTTTAACTAAGATACTTGATGGCATTGCATCAGGACTTATGGAGTTGTGATTGGAAGCTGGCACGTGGGCTGGGCTAGGGCGCCAATAATATTTACACAAAGGCAGAGTAGCTGGGGTTTGTAATGAACATAAATATATATTATTAGTTCTTTTCTGAGAGGAAGAGAGTTGTTCTTTGCTGGAAGCTCTCTCCCTGCTCTTCCTACTGTTTGCTTTCCCCTCCCTCTTTTTTTTTTTTTTTCATTTTCTTTCACCTTTTTTTAAATGCACGTTTAACGCAGGCCAAGTACTGAGACACAGAGAGGAAAAATTCTGGGAAAAAGAAAGAACAGACAGCAAGCTTCACAGAGTAAGTGATGTCACTGCCCAAGTTTGAATTTATGACCAAGAATCTCCCTTACTCTCCTGACATGTTGATCAAGCATCCTGACCCTCTCTTTGCATTTTTTTGGTTCTTTCCATTCTAATTCAATTTCTTTTTTAAAATCCACACAGAATCTCTGCCCTCTCAATGGCAACAATTAAGACTTAAGGAAACCCCGGCCGGGCGTGGCTCAGCGCTTAAGCATCAACTTAGGATCCAGGAGATCAGGGGTCGATTCCCAGTCAGGGCACATGCCGGGGTTGCAGGGNACATGCCCGGGTTGCAGGCTCCTCGATCCCCAGTCGGGGGCGTGCAGGAGGCAGCTGATCAATGACTCTCATCATTGATGTTTCTCTCTCTCTCCCCCTCTCCTTCCTCTCTCTGAAATCAATAAAGACATATTTTTTTAAAAGACTTAAGGAAAAAACTTCCCTCTCTCCTTTTCTTTGTTTACATTCCCACGGGTTCCTTAATTCTTTTTGCAGTCCTAAGATGTTTATGGCATTCAGAATCACCCGGTGAAGACCAGTTGATCCAAGGATTGGGGTGGACAAGGTCAGAAAGCTGCAGGGTCTCTGACAACTATTTTTGGCAAGGATGATATTGATTATTGTTAATATGATTTTTTTTTTGCATGTATTACTCTTGTTTTCAGAACATAAATGTGCGACCCCGATGCCCTCTTCATCTTGCCAGGTTGGAGTGTAATTTTGCCACCATGCTAACAGCTCCTCCCCACAATACCCTTAACCTGAAAATAATGCCTGTGCTTTATGATTCCAGTATGACTTAAGCTGTTTATTCTTTCTAATTTAGCAGAACCTATTTTGACAGCTTTATTATTTTAAGTGAGCCACAGCAGCGCTCCTTGTAGCTTTTTAGTGCCACAACCTTGATCCCAAAAGAGAAGCCAGAATGAAATGTTTATTAGAAATATTCAAATGAACATTTTATATCATTCATTGCTGGGATCTCATCATTGGGCGATTTTTTAATGCATTAAAGTTGCCTGTAGGACTGAGAAAAGGAAATACTCTAAGCCTGAGAAATGAACACATACTGGATTCCGGGGAACTGGGGCTAGGCCATTTTCTCTGCATTTTAGCTTTCTCGGTTACACAGTGACAATAATCATATTAACCTGCTTCCTAGGTAATGGTTGCAGTCGTCGTGTGGCAGCTTTTAAACTAATAAATTAGTGCCCTGCAAGGAAAAACGATTGATGGCGTGTAACAATGAAAAGCACTTTAGCAGCGACAGCCTCAGCCAGAAGCACCGAGTTTATTCAGAAGGGAAAGAAAGCTCCTTCCTACCGAGTAGAAAACAAAGGTTCCCGCCTCTGTGTTCCCCATTCTCTCAGCAGTGATGTCAGTCTTTGGGAATTTTAATTGGAGATTTAATTCGGGGTCAGAGTCAGAGGAGAATTTAACTTCCAATCCCAGCTTGTTAGTTCAATTCATGTTGCCCTTCGCTTCGCGACTGAATTCGTTTTATATATTTCTTAAAATTTTGCCAAATGATTCTGTATGTTGCCTTTGAAACGTGCAGAAGATGACAGTGGTGGCCCCGTGCCAGGGCTGAGCAGCAGCGTGTGCTGGTTTAAGCTCATGTTCTGGGCAGTAATGCGATGTCCAGGCTTGTGGCCTAGAGCAGCAGGCTATCCCACGTCGCCGAGGTGTGCCATAGGCTCTGCCATCTAGGCCATGCCCCCTGTGATGTTCGCCAAACAACAAAATCGCTTAACGAAGCATTTCTCAGAACATGGCCCCATCATTAAGCAGCACCAGAAGGAAGGAAAAAAACGACACCCCTCCTTCATCCGACAAATGAACCCCCCGTGTGGGTGCCCTTTGTCAATGAGGCACAGCTTTGTTGGGCGCAGGAGACCAGGACCTGACATGAAGGACTTTATTCCGTGATCCTGCATGTCACTTGCCCTGTGGGGTCCTCAGTTTCCTTAATTTGGAAATAAGGTCGAACTTGCTGTTCTCCAAGGATCTTACATTCCCCTCTCTCTTCAATTAGCCGTGTTCTTTCTGCCAAGCTCGGTGACAAAGAAACTAAGATGTCAACAAGTTAAGTGGCACAGACCACCCACCCTGGGAGGGAAGGGGCCAGAGAGGACACCTCTGAGCTGCAGGCGGCCTTCCAGCTAAGATTCAATTCTTTGTTTCTGTTCCCAGTAACAAAAGTTTCACCTTGAGGGCAGAAACAAAATCAAGTTAGAGCTCCTAGTAATTAAATTTCCTGCAGTAACTCAGAATATAAATCAGCAACTAACTGGGTGCACGTTAGTCACTCGCGGTTGCAGGTTCTTTTGTCTCTGTCGAGAATATTCAAGAAACGCTTGTTCACATTTTTTATGAAACCATGAAAACAACAAACCAGACATTTGTAAATGATAAGTCGAGCTGTGATGAGGCTGATTGGTATCAGTCATTTAGAATTACTGCGGCGAAGAACGGAGCTGATGCTTCTCCTCCGGTGGTTGTGCTTTGAAACCGGGAGCACTAATATAAATAGAAATTCCGGGGTGGCAGAGACGAGGGCACCCCCACAAACAGTAGGTCTTGGCCTTCACCCACCCACAGGGCGCTGTGGTTTACGGGGGCTCCACTTTGTAAGTAGTTCTCCCTGAAAATGAAATATTAAACTGGTCTGTATCATAATCCCAGCTTCCCTGCTCTCTAGCTGTGCATTTGGACAGGTCCCTTGATCTCTTTGCACCTCAGTTTCCTTCCCTGTGAAATGGGTTGTTGCGAGGTTTAAATGAATGCAGACTCATAAAGCATTTAGAACAGTAACTGGTGCACAGTAAGCGTTATAACCACTACTATGGTTATTTCTCCCTAAGCAGTAGGGTGATAGCATCTCCTGGATTGTGTCAAACCCAAGCATTCCACAGGGTCTCCCATAATGTCCAAGTGCAAGGGACAAAGGGCAGCCATTGATATAACTCAAGTTTTAAATAAAGTCATTACCTTTAAGAACAGCTTCTTGGCAGGGTTCTCCAGGTGTCCGAGGTCCTAAGCCTTTCTTAGTTCCATGAGTTGATCACTAAGTCTTTTCCTAAGAATAATTTTCTTCCAAAGAATCATTGGCTAATTAATCTCCAGCTTTTTCAAGATTATTTTATTTAAATAGTTGGACCGTTCAACCAACTGTTAACTGTGTGATTGAACTGAAAAATCAGGGCAGCCCATCATGATCGTTGGTGGGCATGTTGCTGGCATGTGGCTGGTGAGTCGCTGGCATGTGGCTGGTGTGTGGCTGGGCCGTGCTGAGCAGCCCACCAGCAGACAGAGGACTGATCCCTGACATGTAAGGTTTGTCTTACGGGTAAGGTAGCTTTAAGAATGACTCGGCTAATCGATCAGTCACCCTTTATATAGCTGATTTAAAGATTCATACAAAAAATCAGCATTAAGGAAACAAACCTGAAGAGCCAATGTGAAAATGTAGTGAATGTGGGAGAATTATCTGTAAGAGCCCAAATGCAAAAGGAAAGCAAAAGTTCTTAAATGTTAACTATTTTTATGATGCATAATTTCCATATTCCTCATNTTTAAAGATTCATACAAAAAATCAGCATTAAGGAAACAAACCTGAAGAGCCAATGTGAAAATGTAGTGAATGTGGGAGAATTATCTGTAAGAGCCCAAATGCAAAAGGAAAGCAAAAGTTCTTAAATGTTAACTATTTTTATGATGCATAATTTCCATATTCCTCATGTTGACTATATCTACATACTTCTGTATAAAGTACAAAAAAAAAAAAAAAATCTCACCAGTACTTCAGCATTGTTTTTTCTCTGAAACTAACCCCATCAGACTCGTGGCCTTGACGCTCCCAATTTTAATTTCGCAGATGAAGGAGCTCGGTGTCATCTTCTACAACTGCAGCTGCCTGGTCCTGGATTTACAAAGGATCTTCGCTTTATATAGTTCGTTAAAGTTCAAGAGCAGAGTACCTCAGACCTGGTCCAAGAGGCTCTACGGAGTCTATGACAATGAAAAGAAATTGCAGCTTCAGTTGAACGAAACCAAATCTCAAGCATTTGTGTCGGTGAGTGGCCGCCCTCTTTCCCCTCCTGTCCTTCCCTCCCACGGGCCCTTGGTTAAGGTGGAATATTCCAGCGTGATCTTACCTTGGGCAACCATGAATTCAGGGGTCAGTTCTGTCCCATTCCTTGGAGGGTTCCAATCTGGCCACTCTTAGGCTCAGTCACATGCTGCTCCTAATGATAGATGTTAATAATCGTTCCTAATCCCAGATTCTCTGTGTGATCTGATTTGACTGTCATAATTGTCCCTTAAGGAAGACCCAGGATAGTGACGATGTTACAAATGAGGATCCTGAAGCTTATCTGCTGTAGCACAAAGAGCCTCGGGTGGCAAGTGCCAGGAGAGCCACCGGCACCCAGGTCTTCTGCACCAGACCGTATCTTTGATGCCCCACATCAGTGAGGTTCAGACTTGTTTTTAGCCGTAGAACCGTCTGATGAAACAAATCTGAGGGAACCCCAATGGGCAAAGCAAAAAAAAAGCAAAGCTCTTGTACTTGATTGAGGCTGGAGGGCAAGAGGCCTTCCCCTGTCCTCCAGGAGGGGTGGACTCCTTGCATAGCTCTCAGGCCTCTGACATCACGGAAAATCCACCACCCCACCCACCTTCACTCAGGGCTCCCTAAAAGCTGCAGTAAATGTTGGACCGATTTTATTAGTGGTAGTATCAATAAAAAGTTCCAGGATGCATACAGTTTTCTGAATAATACCTGTCAAACAGGTGCCAAGACAAATTTATTTAAATTCAAAATATTGTAAAATACCTTAAAACAGTGTATTTTATTTTTATAAGGTGACAGTCCCACCTAAATTAGCACACACACAAATATATATATATATATATATATATAT